AGATGAGAAATTATTGAAACATTTTGTAAAATGTGCGATATATTTTGAAACAGTTATAAAAATGTCCAAATGACATAGAAAAAACTATTTAAATGTTTTAGTAATGAATATTAAATGCTTTGAAAAAAATATGTGAGGTGGATCCGAGAAATATTGAAAATGAATAAAAAAGGGATATAATGCATTGATAATGCTTTGAAAACTGATAATTAAATTCATCTTGAAATTAGGGAAGATGTTCTGGGAAGTTTGGATCCTCCACTAAAAATACAGTGAGCATGAAATGAAAATACAATTAAGAAAAAAATATACATTGAGTGGTCTGAAATGCATGATGAAGATGAAAAAAATGAGTATGAAGATGAAAAATGATGATGAAAACGAAAATGAAATTAATCTTATGAAATGAAGTCTTCTATAGGAACCGTATTCCTAGTAACCGAGGGCCGTACTTTCAAAAAAAAGTTAAGAGATCGTAAGTTCGTCAGCCAATCATTGACGGCCTTTCAAGCAAAATCCACCAATCATAGACAAGAAAATAGAGCGTAAGTACTTACGTTCACTATACTTTCAAAAAAGTTAAGAGATCGTAAGTTCGTCAGCCAATCATTGACGGCCTTTCAAGCAAAATCCACCAATCATAGACAAGAAAATAGAGCGTAAATACTTACGTTCACTTAGCGAGTTTTGAAAGTATGGCCCCGAGTCTTCTAGGAATACATGCATAGTCGCTTTTCATGTAGGAGCACAATACTTAATTCTAAATGTTAGCGAAATGTGTTGCCAAAATCCGAAAATAAATTTTGACAAAGAAATTTTCAAATTAATAATCCTATATATATTGTTCAAAATTCGTTTGTTTGATTAATTTTTGAAGCCCTGCGCCCTATTTATCGGGATGTGTCGAACAGATATCCATTATGATAAGCTTGCTGGAATTTTGCATATGATTTTCATTCTATAAATGAGTTTTGCGATTTTAATTAATGAATGAAAATTTTACATCAAAATTTAGATATGAATTTGTTAAATTTACATAGAAATTGAAAATAACTTATTCTTTGAAAAATAGAATACAAGATTTGAATGGGAGTTCCAAATGAAATTTGAAGGGGTCTCTCTTAAATCAAAGTAATTTATTTACGATATTATTAACTTGATTCGGGTTAACTTGAATTAGGTACCGACTTGGAAAAAACAGTATGCTCAAATTGGTTTAAATAAATCTCGAAAAATCCCTGACAACTGTTATTAAAAATATTTTCAATAAATATATTAATTTTAATTATTATTATGTAACAACAGGAATAATAATATTAACAACAGTAATAATAATTATAAATACAAAAATAGTAATAATAATAATTATTATTATTATTATCATTATAATTATAATAATAATCATAATAGTTAAACAAATTATAAACATAATAACAATAATAATAATAATATTAATAATAATAATATCAATAACAA